CCCCTTACCCCTCCCGCTCGTTACACACACATTCAAAATCCTTGTTCCTTTTCTCGGTGTTCCTAATTCAGTCTTTTATAGAATTTTTTGATACAGCACCTTTATCTTCTTATTTGCGCCTTCGTTTTTTAGACGGTGGTAAAAAATGAGGGCTGTTTTTGTGTTGTATAGTTGAGAAAAAGATTGAAGGGGGTCACAAATGTGGAAAAACTTACTTTTTAGAATAGGGAGAAGAGTACTGAATTATTTACAAAAGTATATAAAGTGTGCAAACAAGCTCGGAAACCACTGTTTCAAATGCTTTTTTTTTTCTATGCGTAAATAATAGCAGCGGGAATAGGAGATAAAGGACACATTGAGATTTCTTGTACTCCCCCGGATTTAAAGAGCTATCAGATTCTATTCTTAAAAATATTACAGTTTTACAAAGAAAATTAATTCATGTTCTAAAAGAGGGACAGTTAACTTTTTCTCTTTTGTTTGAAACCATTGAACCATCCTTGACAAGTAAATTCGTTTCAATAGTCCTCTCAGTAAATTCGTTTCAACATTGGATCATAATATCGAGGAAGCTTTCAGCGATTTTAATAACTTCAAACTTTTCTTTGTGCATTAAAAAGCTTGGTAAAATCTTTAATGATTCAAAAGGTTCTATCCCTGGCTAAAATCTCAATAAAGTCGGCTCAACATCGAATCATAATATCGAGCAATAATTTTGCAGCAATCTTAATACTTTTAATTCAAATTTTCTTCGCGTATTAGAAACCTATGTACTATCCTTAACTGCACTTTCGGTAAAGTCGGTTTAACATTAAATCGTAATATCGAGCAAGTTGGCAGCTATCTTAATCACTTTTACCTCATATGGACTTGAAATGCCGTACCATCCTTAAAAGGACGTCAAATCACGTCAAGAAACTTTACGTCTCTATTTCTCTTTTACCTCCATAACTAATTTAAAATTTAAACTATAGAAAAAGTTAGTTCCACAACACCTAGAATAGGCCATGAAGTTTCAAATACTGAAAAGAAATTTTTATAACACCAAACTGAAAATAATTTATGAAATAATTTGTTTCTATTTCCAAATCTTGAAAAAGAAAAATATTTTTTTCAGTAACCGAAACTTTATGGCTTACTCTAGGTTAGCCTGAACTGGCTTATTCTTTCTTTTAAATTTGTCATAGAGGTTCAATATTGAATCATAAAATTGAGCAAGTTAGTCTGAATTTAACTTTAATCGTGTTTTTGAAACCTTAATATAACCCTTAACTTCACTCTTAATTAAATCAGTTCAGCATTGAATCACAATATCGATCAAGTTTGCTGTAATCTTAATAAGGTAATAATAAATAAGATGATAAAAGTGAAATTAACTAATATTGAAATTATAATATTAAATTAATAATTCAATATAGTTCGATATAAGATTCCTCAAAATTCTTAACCTTTTATGTAGTTTAATATAAGATTCCACAAAATTTTTAAATTTTATATAATTTGATATAAGATTCCTCAAAATTCTTAACTTTTTATATAGGATATAACAGTGTTTCCCAAACTTATGAATTTTGTGTACCCTTTCTAAATTTTTCGCAGCACTGTGTACCCCTAATAAAAAAATTAATGTATTTTTTATTATAAAAAATGCACATAAGTTAAAAATTACAACTGGCTGTTGACACCACTAACTATTAACTGTTAACTCTGCAAAAAATAGCCAATAGAAAAATACGTAATTGTAAATTTTCATTGCTAGTTTTGTTTTTAAATAAGAAATTTTGATATATGTTGTAAGATATTTCGCATAAAAAGCGTACCCCGCTAAACTGTTCCCGTACCCCTGGGGGTACGCGTACCACACTTTGGGAAACACTGGGATATAAGATTCCTAAAAATTCTTAACTTCTAGTTCGATATAAGATTCCTCAAAATTCTTAACTTTTTATGTAGTTCGATATAAGATTCCTCAAAACTCTTAACTTTTTATATAGTTCGATATAAGATTCCTCAAAATTCTTAACCTTTTATATAGTTCGATATAAGATTCCTCAAAATTCTTAACTTCTTATACACTAGTTTGATATCAGATTCCTCAAAATTATTAACCTTTTATATAGTCCGATATAAGATACCTCAAAAATTCTTAACCTTTTATATAATTCGATATATGATTCCTCAAAAATTCTTAACCATTTATATAGCTCGATATAAGATTCCTCAAAATTCTTACGGCGAAATTGTGTTATTATTGTGCTATCAAAACCATCATATAATATAAAAACCACGTTGTCATATAAAAGTTGACACACATAAACGCTTTTGAAGCCCCATCGTTTTTTACAGAGTGGAAGTGGTTAACGAGACCACATGACTGAAATTAATTGGTCAACAATTAGGTCGACCTCGGCGTCAATCCGGCTAGAAGCTCACACTTGTCTGTAAATGAAAGCGATCCTATCCGGCCAATTAAAGAATTACACCCTCATCTCTCACAGCCCTATCAATCATAACAGAATTCGCACTGTTTTGAATCAAATAAAGATTTTATCTCATCAATTTGTTGAAATTATAATTTGTTGAAAAATAAATTTCTAAACAAATTTGCTTTGATATGAAATTGACTCATTTGCTTTAAAAAATTGGCTTATCGAACAAAATTAACGATTTTCACCGCCAAATTGTTTTAAAAGATTGGCTTATGTTTAAAACTAGTGCTGAATTACAAAATCGATTAATCAATGTATGAAAAGTAATTATGGGTTTATTGTGAAAAAACAAGTCTTGTGTTCTTTCGTCCCGATTTAATTTTGAAATTATTTTAACAGTAACAATCTAACAAGCAAACCAGTGTTTTAATAATGTAAAAAGCTACTTTTTTCTATGTAAGTTTTTGATACTAAAGAGATTCGCTTCATCCTGACTTTTGAATCACAATTCCTTCACATGTCTTGCATTGTTCCCCAAACTCTTCAGTTCAAACATAACCGGCTGGCAAAATAACTTGAGCCCACATTGGACCAATAATCAAGAATCTCGGCTCAATAAGGGCTCAAAGGGCCATTATTTTTCTGATATCGGTCCTACATAGAATTGCCCGATTCACCCGATATTTTACAACCATTTTGCAACCAATGTCGGCCCTATACAAAATTGTCTGATTCACAAAATATTTTACAGCCACTTAACAACCAATATCGGTCCTATATATAATTGCCCGATTCGCCCGATATTTTACAACTAATATCGACCCGGCCCTATATAGAATTATCCGATTCACAAAATATTTTACAGTCAGTTAACAACCAGTGCCAGATTCACCCGATATTTTACAGTCATTTTGCAACCAATATCGGCCCTATACAAAATTGTCTGATTCACAAAATATTTTACAACCAATATCGGTCCTATATAAAATTGCCCGATTCACCCGATATTTTATAACTAATATCGGTCCGGCCCTATATAGAATTATCAGATTCACCCGATATTTTATATTCATTAGTGATTCAAAATAGGCCATTCTAGGACCATATTAAAAATCTAGACATTCCGATATAGGACCCATATCAAGCCAATTTTGAGCTTAACTGGGGGCGAAGGTTGTTGCTAGGATACATATAATAAAGAACTTTTAAGAATAACTCAACCATATATTATTAGAATAAACTTATTAGGATATTACATATTTATAATACAATTACATGAATTTATCCATATTGTCCCTAAATATCTTTCAAATCTACATCCGCATTCTAGAATATCCTAAATATTAATAAATTTATCTAAATACACAATTATCGATTTTATAATACATTTAAAAATCTTTGAATACGGTAAATTTGAACTAATTTAGCGCATTTAAAAACAATTTAGTTTTAACCAATGACAAAAGTGATTTATTAGCACATGGACGATGCTTTTAATTTCTATAGAAATGGATCATTTATAATTTCCTTATGCTTTGTAAACAATGTGACGTAATTTTTTCATAACTTTATGAATTTGACCTGCAAACGCAGCATACTATTAAAGATATAAAAATCTTAGCCTTAATTTTTTTATATCAGCATTCAGAATTAATTAAAAAATTAATAGTTAAGAAAGCTTAGGAGGCTTTCTGGATGCTTTAGTTTCTAATAATGAAAATATTCATGAACGTTTAAGGATAAATCATTTTTTTATCTAAAAATAATTCATTAGTAAAAGGAATAAATTAGAGTCATTAAATACAGCGAAGATTGTTATTATGAAATCATTATAATTTGACGTATTTGTTCAAATAAAAGTAACATTCTGCGAAAATATTGCTTTTAAGAATAAATAGAATAGTTAAGAATATAAAAAATAATCATAAATTTATTAAGCTTACTTAAATTTTGAAAAAAATTCATTATGGTTAATAATTTTAACAAAGCAGTTGGTTAACTAATATCTCATCATTTTAAAACAACCACTTAAGGAATACTTATTTATCAAACTATTTGTATAATATTAATACATAAAAAACTGTAGCTGTTTGAGTTTTTGAAAGTGACTATTTTTCACACGTTCTTTATTATAGATTTAGATCAATAAATCACATATAAGCAATAATTATAATTAATTATGAATATATTATTAATTAACTATTGCAATTTAATTAAATTATTAATAATTAATTTATAAATTAATTATTTTTCTATTGAATATTAATTTCTCTTGCTTAGTCAATGTGAAACTTTTTCATTCCAATATTTATTTAGAAGTATTGCGCTTGTTAAAATGTATCATATATAATTTATAAACAGTAATTAATTATTTATATACTCATTGCAAATACAATTAACCTGAAATTTAAAAATTTAATTTAATTAAGAAAGGCAACGTGTTGGAAAAAAAAGGAACACTAGAATATTGTCTACCAGTATATTTTCAATACCTAAATGACAATAATACTTAAACACTTGGATAACAAAATATATTCAGATAAATACTTAGAAAAATAGCATAAAAATTACCTTGAATTTCAACAATCGAAACAACCACCGTCAAAATTGTACCCCAAAACAATCCAGCACGGTACCCCATCTTTCTCCTATAAATAGGCACTCGCCGACACCGGTTCGTTTCTAAGTCCGACAGAAATTCATGGAATAGTTGTTTTAATAATCCCGTAATCCAACAATGTAAAAGTAATCCAAGTGCAGAAGATGACACAACACTTAATTAATTAGCGTTCATTTATAAATCACTGTTAATTAATTTTTAATTTTTTTTTTTAAATCTCTATAGCACCACCGACACTACCTCCTCGTTGCACTCCACAATCTCTTATGACTAAGTTTGACCTGTTGTTAAAAAGTTGAATCCAGTCAGCGTCCCTCTCTTAGGGTTGCTAATCTATCAGACGAGGATGGGGAATATTTATCTTTTCATCCCTAATCCCATTGATACGGTTTTGGCGAGTTGGCGACGTTTGGTGAGATTCCCATCTGGAAGAAGAAAGCATAACTTTTTAACGGCTTTAATTATTGCGTTTGAGATTTCTCACGGACGCAGATAGGGTTGTTATCCTCTCCGAAACTAATGTATCATATTTATATACATGACTAATTCAATATTTAAATCCTCTTTTAATGTTTAGTACAATAAATTATAGACTATTTTCTTTTCTTTATTTAATTTTATGTGATAACGTATTTTAATGAAACAAAAAAGAACTAATAGAATATTCGCTATAAAATTTATGATTCCAGATTCCTTAAGGAAAAAAAATTCTAGTTGACTATATGTTTTTAATTCATCCATTCATATTAATTCATTATTCATTTGCGATTTACTAAAATATTATTCATTTTCAAATACTATTTTCTTTTTACACTTTTTTTTTCTTTATTATACACTATTAAAGCTTTAATTCTTTAGTTTTTGTAAAAAAAATAATAATAATATTAATTGCTAACTCAAATGCAAAACTAAAAAAAATCGTTACTACACTAATATAAAATCCACTTTTACTGAAAAATGTTACGGAACAATGAATTTGTCGTATATCGTATTTGTTACAGTAATTATTACCTTAAAATCATTAAATCACTCTATTTAATTAAATGTTACTGTAAAATTTAAGTTATAGTATTTTACCGGTAAAAATGGTTTTTGCAGTGAAATGGATTTTACGGTGAAATAGATTTCACGGGTTTTTATGGATGATACATTAAGACATTGATATTTTTAACAATTTCGATGCGTTATGATTGATATCTGGCAACATCTGATCGCTTTTTCTTTTTTTTTTTTTTTTAATTTCTTTTATTTCCTTTACTCATTTCTTTTTATTATCATTATTATCTTGGCGTTAAGTTAAGCGTGAGCTATTAAAAAGTTATCGAAAGCGATAAATTTATCGAAAAAAAAAATGGATAAATTAATCAGTAATTAAGCAAAAAAAGAAATAATAATAATTCACGAAAAATGCACTTAAAATTGCATCAACTTTCCACATATTAAAATTTCAGAAAAAAAATTGTGTCAGATTTATAATTGAAAATGGCCTTTTTCAACATGTTAAATTTCAGCTCTCCAGTCTCTTTTCAGCGGACAATAGATCAACATGGTTTTCATTTTCTTTCTTTTTTCTTTTATTTACTTATAATTTCTTTTAATTTTACTTATTTATTATTTTTCTTATTTTATTTATTTATTTATTACTGGACTGTTTTTTTCACAGCATTTATTTATTTTTTTAGCATTTTTTCTTCCTTTTTTTTCTAGTTTTTTTCTTTGCTAATTTTGGCGCTAAGTTACGCGTGAGCTAATAAAATGTTCTCGAAAGCGATACATTTGTCGACAAAATAGATAAATTAATCAGTAATTTAAGCAAAAAAAAATTTTTTTTTTTTTAAAAAATTCTTGAAAAATGCACCGAAATTTGCATTGACTTTCAACATATTAAAATTTCGAGGGGAAAAAAAATCGTGTTTGATTTATAATTGAAAATGGCCCTTTCAACAAGTCGAATTTCAACTCTCCAGACTCTTTTCAGTAGACAATGGGTCAGCCAACATAGTTTTTCGTTTCTTCATTTTATTTTATTTATTTATTTATTTTTACTGTTTGTTTTGTTGTTTTTGTTTTTTGCAGTATTTATTTTCACAGCAGTTAGCAATTCTCAAATCTTTTTCTAATTTTGTCGATCGAATTTCTAGTTTATTTTTCGATACAAATCGTAATTTCAAGTGTCATAAATTTTTGCGCAGCAAAACAAAACACCCGAAACAGCCGCGACTATCTCACAAATTAAAGAAGCGCGCGCCAAAAGAGCGATAAAAACTCCGTTTTAAAAGGGATTTATCCTGTCGTAACATTGTCCAAAGCCTATAGCTCCTCCTCTTCTAAGAAAAGAGTTCATTATCAAGTTGTGATATTTAAAAAAACTGGATACAGTACCATAAAGAATACTCTCTGAATCAGATGTAATTTTTCTGTTTTTGGCATGTTTACTTTTATTTATTCTTTGAAAGTTGATTTTTTTGCATAAAACTGTAACACTCCGCCTTGGAAATGTCTAGCCAATCAGAACGCCGCTCAATTCGCACGCATTTTGAACAGCACTAGATAAATTGCTACCTGTTGAAGAAGCTTCATCGAATGTTATACAATGAATATTAGTTGATTGTTGTTTTCTGAGAGCTAGCTTTCCTGAATATTGCTTATTAATTGTTAAAATAATAACTTAATAAGCAAATAACTTAAATATTTTGAAAGTTATTAAACTTTTTTAAAAAATCGCAAATTTGGTGATATTTTTTCACCCAGAGGAAAATTATCACAAAAACACATAATAATAATAAAAAAAGTAAAATAATAATAATAAAAGAAAAATAATAGTAAAAAACCACAGTTTAAGTGTCTTACACTTGAAGCAAACGATGATTTTAAACTAAATATTTTGCTGTGAAAAATTATCTAGATTTTAGAACGGTCGAGTAACTTAAATATTTTAAAAGTTAATAAACTAGTTTGAAAATCGCCAATCAGGCGAGATTTTTCCATATAGATGAGAATTATCAAAATGACTGCCTTATTCTCAGTTTTTGCAAATTTTCATTAGCTGAGACTACAAACGCTTTTCATTTTCACAAAACTGTGGATTTTCTCCATATTGACGTTTTGCGCCATTTTCAAAATAAGCGGCGTAGACAGCGCTGGCTTTAGATAGGCTAAACTTGACCTAACAGTTGCATACTTACAGAAGTTATAAAAATAGCATAGTGTTCGCAAAAAATCATAATTTAATATTACGACGGAGCTTTCGAAAAACAGCCTTAACTTATCACTAATAAACTAAGAAAAATATTTTAATGCATTGTTTATTGGTTTCAAAGTTCGATTAACATTTTTAATTGCGTAATCTATCTATCTATAAACAATTAATTAGCCTGTTGAGACTAAAATCATTCGTTTTAACTATTTCAACAAACAAAAAGTCATAATTAATTAAAACAATAAGTAATAAAACAAATATGTACTTAATTGAAAAGCTTAGTAGGAAAACAAGGTAAGTGGCATTTTCAGAAAGGCTATTATCAGGATAAGAAGAAAAACCAAACTATTATATTTTAGTATCAATTGATTAGAAGGTGGGATATTAGTATTGATAAACTCTTCGCCTTATTTTATTTACTACTACCGAATTTGAAATAAAAACCATGCAATCATATTCAAAACTATTTTGCATTTATTGTGTTAAAATTAAAGCAAAAGCAAGAACAGTTTTGTTACATTAAACATAACCATGCTGATCCGACCGGTCACTATATGTTATTTTTTCTGATTAATTTCAGATTACTCAAGAAAATGTCACTTACCTTGCTTCTTCCACTAAGCTCTTCAATTAGATATGGGATAGATTATAATTAATTAATTTTTTATTCTTGTTTCTTTCTTTATTTCAACTTCTCTAATATTTTCCAATCACAAAATTAAAATTTCACAAAAATTTATTCCCCACATCGAAAAATCTAGCTCTTGAAAAATAAATTTAAAAAAAAATTCTCTCAAAAAACGGGTGGGGAACTGAATTTCATTTTTGTCTGATAAGTCTTAAAAAAATTAAATAATACGTAATTAACTCCCCCCCCCCTATTTTTCGAAATTATTAATGAAATATGTATGATGTTTAATAAGAAAAAGTTTTGCTTTTCAGTAAAAATCTTTCTCTCACTTCTTTTTGTACTTTTCACTCACTTCTTTTTATTCTTCTTTTTATACAGTTACTCATGACCAGTGGTCATAAGCAACAGTAGTGAAACTACTATAGTTGCTACTTTTACTTGTAGCTTGTAGCATAGTGTGCTACTTTTTTTCTTTAAAAGAAAAAAGTAGTGTAGCGAGTAGTGCGATTACAAAAAAAAAAAAAAAANAAAAAAAAAAAAAAAAAAAAAAAAAAAAAAAAGTACTTAGTGGCGATTTCTGACAACTACTTCAGTGCATAAATCTGACTCTAACGTAACTAATTTTTCGAATTTGATGGGTACAAATCTTAGCGGATCCATCAATGGATGAAATGAAAAGGACCCTGTTTCTGCAGTTGAGCGTTAACTGGAATTAATTATTTAGTATTACCTGTAACTAATACTTAAAGTAGCCAATACGAAAAACAAATAATTAATCAATTTGGTCACACTTTTACATGCGAATGAACACTCGTGCAACATCAACAAGGAAGGGAACGTGTTTTCAACATACACTTAATTTCTTAGAGAAAATATAAGAGCATTAAACAAGGAAAAAATTTCAAGTATTTGATAATTTCGCATTTCTTAAATTAAATATTCGCTGCCGAGAAGGGTATAAAAAGTTGAAGATGAAATAAATAAATTCGAGAAAAAAAAATTTTTTGGAATAACAAACGGGCTTATGTAAACTAATTATTTCCTTACATTTAATGTAAGTTCGTCTCTTTAACATAGTTGAGTAGTTACTACAATTCTAAAGTAGTTTGTAGTCAAGATATTTTAAGAAAAGTTAACTATTAGTTTTAGTTAACTACATTTTACTTTATTTTATGACCATCGTTGAACAGCCGACCCAATTTTATGACTACAAATGTTCAACGCCGTAGCTTTGTAATTTTGAATCCAAACCAAAAGACAAGGGAACTCCTGGATCAAGTATTGGAAGAAATTTGCTTTCGTGGAAGACTTTCTGATGGAACTAATCCGCATTTGAGTTGCATGGCGAGGAAAGCCACGAAAACCTCCCACGGTTAGTCTGACGACAAGGGGACTCTAACCCATGATCCGTCTACCACTGAGGATATTTTACGTCAGCACTGTAGTCGGTGCGATCCAGATGCGTA